GATATTTCATTTCATGTTCAATACGACAAAATGTTCAATTTAGGCAGAAGTGTGTGTGTGTGTGAGTACAATAACTACGAGCTTACGAAGCATCGTATGGTCGATCTATGAAGAAAACAAGTAATTGACTGATTAATATTTTTTTAAAATAAAATAATGTACAAGTTCTAGACAGTAATTTGTCTGTTCATACGTACTTATACCTGTTATCCCTACTAATGGAGCCTAATAGGCTGCCGACCAATATTCTCCAACCTACTTACTCTCTCCTGGGCTTCCCTTTCTAGTTATTTCCAGTGTTTGTTCATTCTTCGCATGTCTTTTTTCTCTATTTCTCGGTGTAATGTGTTCTTTGGTCTTCCTCTTTTCCTTTGACCTTGAGAATTCCAAGTGGAGGCTTGTCTTATGACACAGTTTGTATGTGTGTGTGTGTGTGTTGTATTCGCTCCCAGCGATTCCTCCTCCACTAAAATCTGGTTTGTTCTCAACCACAATAGGTTGTTGCTGATGGTGTCTGGCCAACGGATCCAAAATATTTTGCGTAGACACCTGTTAATAAATACTATTATCTCTTTCGGATGATAACTTTGGTAGTCATGCTGTCCTTGCTTTGCTGATCTACTACGCCTTCACATCTACATCAAAACCACCTTGCTCGTCAATGATGCTGCACAGATAGGTAAATGTTTTTACGTTTTCCAAGGCATCTCGGTCAAGTGATTTGGTTGGAACATGTTGTGTTGTATCGGAGAATCACACTTTTTCCTATATGTATGTTGAGACCTGCTGCAGCTGAGGCTACTTGTACACTGGTTGTCTCTTCGCTTTCATGTGTTGTTGCGTATACGATAAAAGAGCCTGCAGTACCTCAGTGGTTACTGTCCGTCCAAAAACCGGAAAAAGAAGGAGGTTTTAGCATGAGGTTAGTGAACCCATCCCGCACAAAACTAACTCGTTGAAAAAAGTGCTAACCAATAAGTAATATCCGGATGAAGACTAAAGTAAATAGGAACACTTAGGCAACACGATTTACGTACTGTGTTAGTGTGTGTAGTCTTACTGTATAATTACTAATTAACTAGACTATCAGGCATATATATATATATATATATATATATATATATATATATATATATATATATATATATACCTTTTATTATAAGTTTTCAATTAATCTGCATTTCACAGCAACTTTTGGTTAACTTATGAGATGATAATTGGTTATTTCCGTTCATTATTAGCTTGACAACTCCGCCAGTAGAACCTTAGGGGCTACTGCCGGTCCCAAGCCCGGATAAAGGAGGAGGGTTGGACATGCGGTTGGCGACCCCATTCCGTTGAAATCTCACTTGCCAAAAAAACGCTAACCAGAAAAAATAATTCAAACCATTTTAACTCTGCCCTGGGAGTTGGAAGAAGAATTATGACGTCTCGTGATGAAAGCCGAGTTCCCTCGGGAGTCACGGGGCTGATGCCTCTTCTGACAACCAGAGCAACCATTTTTTTTTAGGTACATGGAACGTTCGTACATTGTGGGATACTGGAAGACTATTTCAAGTTGTGGCAGAAATGAAAAGATACAACCTCGAGGTGCTTGGAATCAGTGAAACACATTGGACCCAAGTAGGACAACTGAGACTAGCTTCAGGGGAACTGCTGTTATACTCTGGTCATGAAGAGGAAAATGCTTCACATACACAAGGAGTTGCACTGATGCTGTCCAAACATGCACAAAAGGCACTAATAGGATGGGAATCTCATGGACCCAGGATCATTAAAGCATCCTTCAAAACAAAGAAAGAGGACATTACAATGAACGTCATCCAATGTTATGCACCTACCAATGACTACAATGACGACGTTAAAGATCAATTCTACGAAAGGCTGCAGTCAATCGTCGAGAAATGTTCACCAAAGGATTTGACGATTCTTATGGGAGACCTGAATGCCAAGGTTGGCATGGACAACACTGGATATGAAGACATCATGGGACGACATGGACTGGGAGAAAGGAACGAAAATGGTGAGAGGTTTGCAAACCTATGTGCCTTCAACAAACTGGTCATCGGTGGCACAATATTCCCGCACAAACGCATTCACAAAGCCACATGGATTTCACCGGACCACACTACTCAAAACCAAATTGACCATATCTGTATCAACAAAACGTTCAGAAGGACCATGGAGGATGTGAGAACCAGGAGAGGAGCTGATATAGCTTCAGATCACCACTTGCTGATCGCCAAAATGAGATTGAAGCTAAAGAAGCACTGGACAACGGGGCAGACAACATCACAGAAGCTTAATACAGCCTGTCTTCGGGATACCGTAACACTCAACGAATTCAAGATAGCCCTCACCAATAGGTTCCAGGCCTTTCAGGATCTACTCAATGGAGAGGAAGCGACATTGGAGAACAATTGGAAAGGGATTAAAGAGGCAATCACTTCAACATGTCAGGAGGTCCTTGGTCGCAAGAAGCACCATCACAAGGAGTGGATCTCTGTTGGTACTCTTGAAAAAATTCAAGAAAGGAGGAACAAGAAGGCAGCAGTGAATGTCAGCCGAAACAGAGCAGAGAAAGTTAAGGCGCAAGCCGAGTATACAGAAGCAAACAGGGAAGTGAAGAAGAGCATCAGAGCTGACAAACGAAAATATGTGGAAGATCTACCAATGACGGCGGAAAAGGCTGCAAGAGAAGGAAACTTGAGACAATCGTACGAAACTACGACAAGCTCGCCGGAAACTATCGTAAACCAGAACGATCAGTGAAAAGCAAGAAAGGCAAAGTAATCAGCAACACTGAAGAACAGAGAAATAGGTGGGTAGTGCACTTTAAGGAACTATTGAATCGACCAGCTCCACTGAACCCACCCAACATCGAAGCAGCATCCAAGGACCTCCCAATTAATATTGGCGCACCTACGATTGAGGAGATCAGTATAGCCATCAGACAAATCAAGAGCGGCAAAGCAGCAGGACCAGACAACATTCCAGCAGAGGCAATGAAAGCAGATGTGGAAGCAACTGCGAAAATATTTCACATTCTCTTCAAGAAGATTTGGGATGAAGAACAAGTACCATCAGATTGGAAAGAAGGATACCTCATCAAAATACCAACGAAAGGCGATCTCAGCAAGTGTGAAAACTACAGAGGCATCACTCTTCTTTCAATACCAGGCAAAGTCTTCAACAGAGTATTGTTAAACAGAATGAAGGACTTCGTAGACGCCCAACTTCGAGATCAACAGGCCGGATTTCGTAAGGATCGATCATGTACTGACCAAATCGCTACATTACGGATCATTGTGGAACAATCATTTGAATGGAACTCACCACTCTACATCAACTTCATCGACTACGAGAAAGCATTCGATAGCGTGGATAGAAAAACACTGTGGAGGCTTCTTCGACACTACGGTGTGCCTGAGAAAATAGTTAACATCATACGGAATTCTTATGATGTATTCAACTGCAAAATCATGCACGGATGTCAGCTGACAGACTCTTTCGAGGTGAAGACCGGTGTGAGGCAAGGTTGCTTACTCTCACCCTTTCTCTTTCTCCTGGTGATCGACTGGATTATGAAGACGTCAACATCTGGAGGGAAGCACGGTATCAACTGGACAGTTAGCACGCAGCTGGACGATCTGGACTTTGCAGATGACTTGGCTCTTCTATCGCACACTCAAAAACAAATGCAAGAGAAGACGACCAGTGTAGCAGCAGCCTCTGCAGCAGCAATAGGTCTCAACATACATAAAGGAAAAAGCAAAATTCTCCGATGCACCACAACATGCACCAACCAAATCACTCTTGATGGAGATGCCTTGGAGGACTTTTACACCTTTACATATCGGAGCAGCATCATCGACAATCAAGGTGGATCCGATGCAGATGTGAGGGCGCGGATATGCAAAGCAATTGCTGCATTTCTACAGTTGAAAAATATCTGGAACTCCAAACAACTTTCAACCAAAACCAAAATAAGGATTTTCAATACAAATGTCAAGACAGTTCTACTGTATCTAGCGGAAACATGGAGAACTACCAAAGCCATCATTCAGAAGATACAAGTGTTTATTAACAGTTGTCTATACAAAATACTTCGTATTCGTTGGCCAGACACCATCAGCAACAACGAACTGTGGGAGAGAACAAGTCAGATTCCAGTGGATGAGGAAATCAGGAAGAAGCGGTGGAAGTGGATAGGACATACACTACGAAAAGCACCCAACTGCGTCACGAGACAAGCCCTCACATGGAACCCTCAAGGCAAAAGTAAATGAGGAAGGCCAAGGAACGCACTACGCCGAGAAATAGAGAAAGATATGAGAGGAATGAAGAAACATTGGACAGAACTGGAGAGGGAAGCCCAGGACCGAGTTGGTTGGAGAAAACTGGTGAGCGGCCTATGCTCCATTGGGGCTAACAGGCGTAAGTAAGTAAGTAAGTAAGTATTAGCTTGACGGATGAGTAAACTTGATAGCTGACTAATTTTAACTGAATGCCTGAAATACGATAAAGATCTTCACATTGTTTGACTTAATCTTCTTTCCTCTGGATTCATGTCCAGTGTTGGTATTGAGTCAATTATCAAGCACATAGTGTGTATCAATTCTCTCCTCCTTGCTTTCTCCTCATTGGTTGTTTCAAGGTCATCCGTCTATCTATATGTACACATACTGATTGGTCAGTGTATTATAACCGATAAAACAACAGATTGACGAATTGAACAAACAGAAATATTGAATAACAACATAACACTTATTTTGTAAATTATTATATATTTATTAAAAAAACATATTTACTATATTTTTATGTAGCGTATTATATTGTAACTATGATCAGTAATGTAGAAACATACAAATTCATTTTAAAAAGGTGATAATAACTTTATGGTAAATGAGAATTGACTGGAGAAAACGATGCCTGGTTCGTGCCAAAGAAAAGGCAGACTATAAAAATTCTTTGCCTGCACTATGTGTTGCATTGTTTTACTATTGTGTAAGTTGTTGAATTTCTTGTGTTAAATTGTGAATTTCATCATTTTGTAATTTGACAAATTGAATTAGTTGTTTTAATTGTTGTTGATCAATCATTCCTGGGGATTTGTCATTCTATGAGAGAAAGAGCAAAAAATATTCATATATATATATGACGTGTTACGAAATGTTCAACTACCGACTGCCACAAAGAGCAGCAACATTGTGTGATGCAAGAGTAGGTGGGAAGAAAGTTAGAGAGAGGTAAGTAGCTAAATTAAAACATGACATAAATCCATATGAAGTCACTGACAGGTGGAGTGTGCCATGTTAGTAGGTGTAGACTTACTTACCTGGTTGGACGCCGTGTGAAGGGCGACAATAACCGATGCTTAAAGACTTTGAATGACATAGTACATACATCCATTCTTTGTCTACTCTCATGAGTTCACAGGACGTTTTATTATCCCTTTCTAAATTTATTTCACTATATTGTACTTCTTAAATAAGATCTTCGAATTCTAATCGTTTTTTATTACTGCTAAAACTTTTACTGACTCTAATTTGAATTGACAATTCTATCATTGTGCTAATGTAGTATAACAACTTGAACTGATGTATGTATGGACGAAGTTCTGTGTTGCAGCTGACTGACTAGAACTTAAAATTCGTACCAACACATTTTTATAATTTTGTAGATAATGGAAGACAGATAGATACAACGCAGAACTTCGTACGTACGTACGAAGTTCAGGTTGCCATACCACATCACCACAGAGACGTAACTGTCAGTCTAAATCCAAGAGTGATAGCAATAATAGAAGTATTAGCAGTAACGGAGAAGATTAGGGAGCGAAGATATGATTCGAGAAGTATAATTCAGTAAGATAAATTTAGAAGAAGGAGAAAGATAGAGATGGTGAGGAATTCAGAAGCTTAGAATTTCATAGAACGCAAAGAGTGGATGCACTTGCGCCATTGCAAACAATTCTGAGCCATGTTTTTTCAAGGTCTCTAACCATCGGTGACATTCGTCTCGCGGACCCCAACCAGATAGCCTACATCTACCCACATGACTCAGTCTACTTGTCAGTGACTTCATGGATTTGTGCCATGTTTTGGTTTGGTCGTCCCTAACTTTCTTCCAACCTGCTCCAACACTGCGAAAGATAGCTCATCGAGGCAGTCGGTGGTTAGGCGTACCTAACACATGTCCTAACCACCTCAACTGATGAAGTTTCACTACTTCATCTATTGATTTGCCATCCCTACCTAGAACTCGTTTCCTAACGACAGTATTGCTTATACGGTTGTTCCACGATACACGAACAATGCTTCGGAGGCATCAATGATGGAAGACTAGTAACCTACGGCCAAGTCTCGCAACCGTACAGTAGGACGGAGCGAACTGCTGTACAGTACACTCGTCCGTTAGTTAGCAAACGGATATCTCGCCTGCGCCATAGGTGACGCAAGTTGGCAAAAGCCAATCGAACCTTCTGTATCCGTGCTGAGATTTCGTCAGTCACCAGACCATCAGCGCTGATGAGACTCGCAAGATAAGTGAAGCGGTCTACACGTTCGACTGCTTCACTCTCTATCACTAGTTCAGGTGCCGATGAAACCCAATCTTCAAGCAACATTTTGCATTTCGAGGGTGAGAACCGCATCCCGAACATGCTTGCATTGTTGCTTAGGGTGGTTAGAAGACTCTGTATTTTGTCAGCGTCTTCACCAAGTAGGACTGTCATCGGCTGTAGATAATGAAAAGTTCATTATTGAAATAGTACGTCATAACTTTGTTTATGTGAGTTTTATGAAGATCACCAAACACTGGGTAAATATCACTCACTATTTTCATACTGAATAACCAATTGCCTAAATCGATTTTAGTGGCCCAGGAATGATTGAATATGCTATGAAATAACTCCCCCCCCCCTTCAATTCATAGGCAATAAGATGAAGTCAAAGGTGGATTTAGTTTGATGCAGTTTCTTCCATTCAATCGTCCCTGTAGTCAAATATAATAAAAAATGTGAAAGTAAAGCGAAGCCAAGTATAGACAAGTTCGTCAAATGTTTGTGTGTGACAAGACATGAATCAGTCAGTCAGTCAGTCAGTCAGATGCAACGTAGAACTTTGTACATAAGTACATCAGTTCATGTTGCTATACCACATCAGCACAGAGATATAATTGTCAATTCAAATCCAATAGTAGAAGAGGTAGTAAGGCAATTAGAAGTAATCGGAGAGGTTACGATTAGAAGATACTATTCAAGAGGTATGATTCAGTGAGAAAAGTTTAGACAGTCGAACCTAGAGGGGTTGAAGAATCCAGAAGATTAGGATTTGAGAGAACACAAAGAATAAATGCACCGGCGCCATTGCGAACGATTTTGAGCCATGTCATTCAAGGTCTCTAACCATCGATTATTATCATCTCGCGGACCCCAACCAGGTAGTCGACAATTACCGACATGGCTAAGTCCACTCGTCAATGACTTCATGGATTTCTGCCATGTTTTGGTTTAGCCGCCCCTAACTTTCTTCCAACCTATTCCTACACCACAAAGCAAATCTCGTCGAGGCAGTCGGTGGTTGGGCATACGCAACACATGTCCCAACCACCTCAACTGATGAAGTTTCACCACTTCATCGATTGATCTGCCATTCTTACCTAGTACCCGTTTCCTAATAACAGCGTTGCTCACTCGGGTGTCCCACGATATACGAGCAATGAATAACCATTTATAGTCACTCTAAATGAAACTAGTCATGTGATAAGCGAGGTAAACAGTGTACACACACGCCCACTCAAACAAAAGCAATCGAATATTTTAAACAAATAATTGACCGGGTCAAAAGTTATGCAAATATTAATTCAGAAAGAAAGGTCAGTTAGTTCATTCAAAAGGTAGGACAAGCCTAGTTAGCTCATCATCATCTTCTACGACGCAAGTCAACAAGCTGTTTGCAACAAAACTCCACTTCCTAGGTTACTGCCGGTCCAAAGCCCGGATAAAGTGGGAGGGTTAGGCATAAGCTTAGCAATCCCATCATGTAGAAAGTCAACTCACTAAAACAACGCTAACCGGAAATGTTCGGTGTTCTTATACTCCATTTGGAGTGACAGGTGTAAGTAAGTTCGCAACAAACAAACAACTTGCACTCAGCCTCATGCATAATATTGTACACAATACAAAGAGCGTCCTTGAAAGATTCACATAAATAACGTACGAACAGAAGAAAATGAACCAATCATGTTTGAAGTTCCTTCAAGTGGGAAACATCAATCAAAAAGGGCGCGCTTTTGACACAAAAGCAAGAAATTCAAATTTTCCCATTAATCACTGAGAAAAGTAAGAAGTTTAGCGAGTTATTTCCAGCACGATTTGATCGATATTTTGAATAAGGTTATTATCTTTCCTCACAATAAATTGAATTCACCATTCTATTTTACTTCAACCTTCTCTACTCACATCAGCTTCAGTATGAAGTTACACAACTGGTGCGAAGCAAAGCCTCAACATTTATTATTAACATTAGAGGGCCGTGGAGATTTTTGAGTTACTTTTTGAAATCATTAATCAATCAGAGTTAGACTACTATTAGAAACCTGGAAGCTATTGAATAACCGTTTCATCCTAGTACAGGACTACTACTCATCATTGGTAGTGCGAATCCACGACTCCCTCTACTCACAGGGCTCGAACCCAGGACCTACGACGTTGCACGTGGACGCTCAACCTTTGGAACAATGTGCCGACATCCAACAGCTGACAATAAGTCCCATATCAAGACTAAACGGCCCTTTTTAGTGCTTCCATGTTTCTCTAATCATGGTCCAACATGAATAGTTTATTGATTCACAAAGTTGAAATGAAAGTTCAACGAGTGACAAGAAATCGGGGGGCAAAATGTAAAAAAAATTATGATGAAATCTAATAATCATAAAATTAGTAACGATTACATAATTTGTGAATACAAATGAGATAAAAGGTCAATGCATCAAATAAAAAGAGTTTGACCTCTATAACGCTTAGAATGGTTTCAATTTATCTTGCCTGGATTTACACATTATAATACAAGCTTGCGTAAAGTAGTGAGAATAGGGTTAATAATGGAATTCAGTGTATGCGTTTTATCTTAATTTAGGACCCATCAGACAGATTTTTAATGTAGGCTATCTGGTTGGGGTCCGCGAAACGAAAGTCACGAATGGTTAGAGATCTTGAACGACATGGCTCAGAATTGTTTGCAATGGCACAGGTGCATCCACTCTTTGTGTTCTCTCAAATTCTAACCTTCTGCATTCCTCATCATCTCTATCTTTCTCTTAACAAATTTATCTCACTGAATTATACTTCTCGAATCATATCTTCGCTCCCTAATCTTCTCGATTACTGCTAATACTTCTATTATTGCTATCACTCTTGGATTTGAACTGACAGTTACGTCTCTATGCTGATGTGTGGTATGGCAACCTGAACCGATGTACTTATGTACGAAGTTCTGTGTTGTATCTGTCTGTCTGTCTGTCAATCAGACAGATCTAAATGCTTTCCAGTGTTAATGTTCACTTTACTCTTCGAACAAGGTATCTTTGACTTGAAACGCTAACGTACCGCCAATGTATGTAAATAGAACTAGTGAGAGCATACACTTTTGTCCAAGATTTTGCTGCTAGCAACAATCTATATGTTTTATATGATAAAATTGGATGAGTTAATGATTTATGGACGAATCAGCCAGGTTTAAGATGATGACTTTTGAATTTTGGTGTACACTCCATTCATCTATACATTTAAATAGTATTTAGACATGACAGTTAACATTATTTCATAATAAATATCGTAATTCTATTTCTCAACATGAAACATGTTCAACTGCTAAGCTACGTTCTACCGCGTACTACTTAAAAACTACCATATAAGTAGCGTCCATCGCACTCGCCTCTAATTAGATTGTCAAGTTTATAGGTGCACAGAACTCCATAGATTTATCCACTGTCAGTAATCAAGACCTCCCACGTCTCCATCTGTCAACAGAGACCAACTTCACTCAACTTTGTTTCCACCCATCAGAACTGTCGTCAGCCTCGACAAATCCGTGGAAAGTGACTTCAAATGTTAGATCAAGTACTGGTAGAAGGAATGTATATTTAGCAAAATTACAGAATCATTATGTAGTATCTACACCTAGTTTTTAATCATTCATTTTCATCAGTTGTATGTTATGCCACCCAAGTTGATTCCAGTGGGTTAGATTGTGACCAATTTGGTCTCGTGTGCATTTATGGGTATGAGGAGGGGGGACGTTACTTCCCGGCTGCCCACACAGTGGAAGGGTTTTGGTTGTCAGAAGGGGCATCGGCGTCGTTACTTCCGAAAGAACTCGGCTTTCATCATGAGACTTTATAACTCGTCTACATGAATACCTTCTAACTCCCAGATCAGAGTTTATATGGTTTGAATAATTTTTTTCGGTAACGTTTTTTAGCGAGTTAGTTTTTTGTGGGATGAGGTCGCCAACCCTAAACCCAACCTATCCTGCTTTATCTGAACTTCGAACCGGCAGGAGCCTTGAAAGGTCTGCAGGCGGAGTTGGTTCCATAGTGTGTTCTCTCACTTCTCTGCTAGTATCCGAAGTATTCAGAATACCCCGAACTTTTGACTTACTAAACCTCTTGTTTTCGGCTCTCGACTGCAACAACTTCCATGTGACACTGCTGTTTGTTTCTAAACAAATCTTATTTGCTATGTAATAAATCTTGTTATATTCGGTCTGTTTATGAAATAGTTTGTTACATTATAATCAGTGTAATGTATACTGTTATGTAGAGTCTTCTGACTATCCTAAGCAACAATGTAAACACATGTTCGGGATGCAATTCTTCTCCCACCAAAATGTAAAATATTGCTTTAGGATTGGATTGTATCGGCAGCTGAACTAGGGATAGGGAGTGAAGTAGTTGAGCGTGTTGACCGCTTTACATATCTTGGTAGTCTCATCAGTGCTGGTGGCCTGGGGTCCAATGAAATCTCAGCAGGGCTTTTGCAAACTTGTGTCACTTACGGTGTAGGAGAAATATTCGTCTGCGAACCAAAGTGTGAGTCTACTGCGTAGCAGTTCTCTCCGTCCTTCTGTAAGGGTGTGAAATATTACCAGTAACCGTAGAAGTAGTATTTAATCATGGATGTCTTCGAAACATTGCTCGTATATCCTGGGACCAAGATATTTCACTAGATTCTACTTCTTGGATAATATCTTCTAATCTTAACCTCTCCGACTACTGCGAATAACTTTACTTCCTCTACTACTATTGAATTTGAATTGACAATGAGATCTCTCTGTGCTAATGTGGTATGGCAACATGAACTGATGTACTTACGTACGAAGTTCTGCGTTGCTACTGATTGATAGATTGATATCCTAGGACCATTGAGTAAGCAATGCTTGTATTAAGAAAACAGTATTGAGTAAGAATTATAGATCAATAGATGTAGTAGTAAAACTTTTTCAGATAAGGTGGTTGGGCTTTGAATTGACCATAGCATCTCTGTGTGCTCATGTGGTATGACAACTTGAGATGATGTACGTACGTACTTACATCAAAAAATTCAACACAACTATTACAATAAACAAACATTAAAATCAACTTTACACTTACTTTTGCTTTTAACATTTGATTTAAATCATTTTGTAAATATTGATGTTCATTGAAAAGTGTTAATAATTGTGTTAAATAAACTGTATTTTGACGTATTTGTCCAACACATATATCTCGTGCATTACGTATTTTGGTCTAATTTATTATTATTATTATTTTGTATTTCCCGGCAAAATTAATTTGAAAATTATAGAAAAAGAAAAGAAAAGATTTCATCAGTGTTCAATGTGTTCAACAATAAACCATACATTATATTTTGTTCAATGTTAAATATTTTTAAAAGAAAAATAATAAGAATTATGAGCCAATAAGAACTAGCTCTTGACTCAAGGTCGTTAGCGCAGAATCTCATTCCTATTGGTGGGTTTATCATGTAATTATATCAGTAAGGACTGATAAATCATAAGAGATAAAAAAAAATTAAATTTCTACAGCATATGAAACCGATTTTTGAATGAAGTTTTTCATGTATACGCAAACATTCTGATTGATAGATTTAATAATCGGACGTCTTCTTTGATTTAGTTAAACAAGTCCTCAATTTTGTGATGAATAAGCACCTATCAGTTCAGTGACATAATTTGTCGGAGCTTTTGTTAAATTATATATACTAAACACTATTATTCAGATTGATACTACTTACTAAATCTAATTTGTATCACCTAGAATCAGTATTCACTTATTTAAGCCTGTCATCGGTAATCGAGCAAAGGCCACCGACCAACATTATCCGACCCACTCTATTCTAGGCCTTCTTTTCCAATTCATGTCTGTCTCCAACTCTCGGCACAGTGTGTTCTATGGACTACTACTTTTCCTTTAGCTTCGAGGATTCCAAATTGAGAGTTGTTTTGTGATGCATATAAGTGATTTCTGCAATGGGTATACTATCCATCTCTAAAGATTTTTTATAATTTTTTCCTCAACTGGAATCTGGTTTGTTCTATCCCACAAGTACATTGTTGATGATGGTGTCCAGCCAACGGATTTGGAGTATCTTGTGTAGACAACTGTTAATAGGTATCTGTATCTTTGAGTTTTCGTGATTCTTTAAGTTTCTGTGCCATATAGTAGAAATGTTTCAACATTTGTATTGAAAATTCTGACTTTGGTAAAAAGAATCAGTACTAGTCATAACTTGAACTGACACTATGTTCTCACATATCTAACGATTTAAACAAGTAAATATCACATACAGAACTAATCTAGGGGGTTTTGAGTAGATAATTTACCCTTAAATTGAATGTCAACATATTTGTTTAATCATAGAACGCACAACTGTCAACCTTGATTTCTTAAACTCGAGCTCTAGAATAATCATGAGTGCATACTATCGTAAAGTCACAATTAAACAAAACGGCTGCTAAATATTCCTTCAGTTCTATTGATCTTACAAATAAATTTGGAGTAGCTGAACAAAAAAAAATCATTTCGTCACTTGCAACAATTGTCATAAAGTACGAATGAACAAATAAATATCATTGGTCAAGAAATGGATTCATTTTCTAAGGGGAACGTATGTCTGTTTAACACTTCCATTCTCATTCAAGTCATCAATTTAAGCAGTTAGCTCGTATTATCACGTTCAAACCTGAGGCACCAAACATCATCATCACAGAGACGCAATATACTAACCTCGATTTCAGCTTCTTCTTTAGCAAATTCCTCTTGCATGATTAACATTTTTGTAGTTAAATCTTCTAATTTCGGATTGATCATCACACTTTCCATTTTTTCAATATCATCTATTCTACCAAATTTATCAGTCATTTCTCTATCACATACAGCTGAAAATTGTTCAATTTCTTTCTAATGTGAAACAAACAGAAAAAAAAACAGAATTAGAATGATGAAGATTAAAATATACTACTAACAGGCTGTATTATAAGTAGCGAGAAACATTTTGCAAAGAAAATATGCTTTGAATGTAAATTTTGTTTTCTCAATCGATAGATATATCATGGATAGTTAGTTAGTTAGTCGACTAACAGACTAACTAGTCGAAATCATGTAGGTTATTTAAAGTAGAAATATGTTCAACCATTCCTTTGTAGTTGTCCCAGTCTCTGAACATCTTTCAACCTTGTTAATTAAGGAGACATTTATTTCATAGCATATTTGAATGTTCGTCCAAATTGGAGTCAGTTCGCGAGCGATTAAACGTTTTACTCTGATCAACTTCCGGCCTTAATTAGGTGACAAACATTTCAATGATATGATAATGTAATCTGATTATTGTGTTCAAGTAAGTTTTTCATCCCTTGATGATGATAGTTGATCTTTGCGTAGAAGTTATTCGAAGAAATAAATTTCAAGACGTCAAAGAATAAGGCATATTCAGGAAATTTGGAGACTAGAACAAAAGTGAAAGAAGACAGATTATCGCCTACGTCGTAGGCATTATTTTTAGAGTTGATATCACAAACTGATCTTAGCCAATTCAACATCAGAACCCTGGAAACTGTTCATGGTTTTAACTATGAAGATAATACAATCTTCACAAATCTCCTTCATTAATAACAGTTATGTGATCACTAGTGACTGGCTTCACGATGTATTCCTGAAATTCTAGTGAGAATTTGTGACCACTAGAGTTCAATGTATGTCTAGTAGGAGATAGTTACCCATCTCAGGTAATAGATGAATGTTGCGTAAAGTCATGAATTGATCAAAACTAGACATATAATATCATTGGATGCCTACTCAATGATCTCGTGCGCGAAACTAGGTTCGATTCCTACTTACGTGGGTCGTGGATATGCGCACTACTGACGAAACCATCGAGACCATTCGACAACACTGAAAACAAATAGGAGTTACTCAAAAATATTTGAAAAAACTATCATTACTTCACAAAAAATTCACAACATGGGTAGGTGGATGAAAGGAGAAAATAGTAATACTAATAATGATCATAATATCTAAACTACTAAGACTGTAGTGAAGGAGAACGCAGGTGAGGGCAACCGAATTGTATTTAACGAAAATTACAAGAGTTACTCAGTAAAATAGGAAAACCATATCGTAAATCGTTGTTAATTTGCAAATCTTCAATCCATCATCATCAATCCATTGTCTGACAGTTCACTATTCATGCGTTTCATACTAATTCCATTGTGTTCCCACTCTTCCTTTCTCTTGATCTTCCCTCATCTTCTGCTGCCAGACATTACGTTTACACTCGCGTCATATACTACTTATAAGTAGCGCGCACCACAATACTAGTGTTGATTTGGTATTTTTTTCAATGATATCGCATTGACTAATAGATTCCCTCATATTCGGGACAGACCAGTCAGATGTATCTGCATCCTAGCGTTAATTTTCACTCATGGACTCGAACCTAGCACCGTGTGCTTCGAATGTCATCACATTATCCATTTAGCTATTGAGTTCAAATAGCCAATGGTTTGTGTGATGGGATGAAAAATAACTAGCTTACTTTTGTATTGGATGTACAGATCTTCTCATCAGTGTTTACGACTACTACACGCGATTAGTCTCTTTGGATAAACACTTATAAACCCAAAAAGAGATTCATCATTTGCAGTCTTAAACATCAATGGAAAAAAATTCCAATTATCAATACAGATAATCTTTATTTATTGTACAAAAACGTTCGTTTTGTTCAATGTTTTTTCGGTAGTTCAGGCTATATGTGACATCATAAAAGTGAGGTTACGAATTAAGAACACAAATGAGAGATTAGTGTCTAATTAACCTTTTCTGCATGTCTATTGACCTGATCAATTATTCACTTATGACCTTGGTTGTTTTTAATTTGAGTACGTTTATGCATTCCCTTACTATTCTTGTCATGTGCCTAGCTTATATTTTGTTTGACTATATATATCTACAGGGGTTGTGAAGATTGTTAAGTTACACATTTTTGAAACCATGAATCGATCAATGTTAGCCCACCAGCATTAGAAACCTGGAAGCATTGGACGGCCGTTTCGTTCTGGTATGGGACTCCTTGGCAGTGCGCACCCACGACTCCTGCACCCCGCAGGATTCGAACCCAGGACCTTCGCTGTTGTGCGCGAACGCCCTAACCGTTATACCACTGAGCCGGTTTCTAGCGGTGTTAATGTCTAACTTGATCAAATTCACGGAGTTGCGCAACCTCATTCATACACAGTCTTCGGTAGACACTGTCTACACCCGAACAGGTTGAACTTCACTGGTGGTCACGTCTTCCCACTAGAACTCGGTTAGGGCGTTCGCGCACAATAGCGAAGGTCCTGGGTTCGAATCCTGCGGGGTGCAGGAGTCGTGGGTGCGCACTGCCAAGGAGTCCCATACCAGAACGAAACGGCCGTCCAATGCTTCCAGGTTTCTAATGCTGGTGGTCTAACATTGATCGATTCATGGTTTCAAAAATGTGTATAAATGTCTAGTCATGCCTCTTCTCATTGACTTGACACACTTGTCTTCTACATTTCACTTCACTTTTCTTTCACGTTTCTTATTGTTCTCATATTTGACTAAGTGAACAAGATTGTATGGAATAAACTCTATCCAACTAAATCCATAGTGGGCTTCTTATTACTACCGTCACACAAACAGCGTTCACCTACTCATAATATAAAGAAGGGATGATTTAAAGTGCATGATGCATAACCTATGATGGATGTATCAATCGTTCGTTCGTTTTTAAAATAAGAGTCAGATTATCAGTCAGTCAGTCAGTTGCAAGGCAGAACTTCGTACGTATGTACATAAGTTCATGTTGCCATACCACATAAGCACAGAGACGCTAATGTCATAGTGATAAAGATAGTAGAGGTATTAATGGTAATGAAGAAGACTAGGGAGCGAAAATATCATTCGAGAAGTATAATTCAGTGAGATGAGGTTACAAAGACAAAGGTAGAGAAAGTGCTGACGAATCCAGAGGATTACGATTTGAGAGAGCTCAAAGAATGGATGCACCTGCGCCATTGCAAACGATTTTGAACCATGTCGTTCAAGGTCTGTAACCATTGGTGACTATCGTCTCGCGGACCCCAACCAGATAGTCTACATCTACCAACATGACTCAGTCCACTTGTCAGTGACTTCATGGATTTGTGCCATGTTTTGGTTTGGCCGCCCCTAACTTTCTTCCAATCTAAACCTACACTACAGAACAAAGTTCGACGAGGCAGTCGGTGGTTAGGCATACGCAACACATGTCCCAACCACCTCAACTGATGAAGTTTCACCACTTCATCTATTGATCTGCCATCCTTACCTAGTACGCGTTTCCTAACGACATCATTGCTTACTAGTCAGATTATCAAGCAAATTAAAACAAAAACAAGGTCAAATATTGAACAATGATCAATTTTGTTTTAAATAAAACTAACTTGAAATAGCTTTTTATATTTTTGTAACATAATATGATGTTCTTTGGCTTGTTTTATTGTTAAACGTTGTAAATTTTTCTCGTCATTCAATTCACAGATACGTTTTTGTAATTTACGTAAATTATTTTTTAAAAATATTAAACTATTTTTCATATCTAATGGTGGAATTGTCACATCAGAAGAGGTGCTGCTGATAAAATGTACAATTTGATCTAAACGTAATATGACAATAATTTCTAATTCATTTAATTTACGTTGTTTTTCTAACTGAAATTTAGAACAAAATAGCGTAACGTATAAGGGAATTGAATTTTGAACGAAATTAGATTTATAATTTAAAAAAAAAATCAAGCTTACGACTGTGTTAGGATATTTATTCATCAAAATATCCTAAGAGAATTATTTTTTGTAAGTTTAATTCTATTGGTCGATTCCTATTGGTCAATATTATGGTCGTCCTAGTAGATATCAATGTCACGTACTCCCATGTTGTTTCTTATTGGTCGACTTAACTGTCAATATCACAGACTTCAATGTTGTTTCCTATTCGACTTAACTGTATAAATACGCATTATCTATAACGTTTTATGACCCGGACCCGGACCGGGATCATGATTCTCTTCTGGACTCAGACCCAGTACTTTCTGGATGATTGTAGAATACATATTCTACTTCATATCAGGTCTTCTTTTATTCAATGGAAAGTTTGGGACACTCGGATTAGAGTAGCCTATGGTGTCTCCAGATCCTCGATCCTCGTTCTCGTTTTCCGACTAAGGTAAACTCGTAATAGTTCAAATATATCAGATGACATGTTTGCATGAATTTGTAACGGATATCTTGTTCAAAGTCAGTTATTCAGTTAGCGACAATGTAGAACTTAGTACGCAGGTACATCAACTCAAGTTGCCATTGACACATAAGCACAGGGAGATGGAATTATACATTGAAATCATGAATCAGTCGTTGTTATAAATCTGGAAGCACTGGACGGCCATTTTGTCCTAGTACAGTACTAATCAGCAGTAAACATCCACGACTTCGGCTAATCACAGGATTCGAACCTGGGACCTTCGGTCTTGCGTCATTGCAAATGATTTTGAACCATGTCATTCAGTCTCTCTCTCTCTCTCTCTAAATATATATATATATATATATATATATATATATATATATATATATACTGTAGTCAACATTGCTTATTGTTATCAGCGCTGGACATAAATATGTGATACCTTTTTGAACCACATTACAATAATAAACCAGCCAAGTCGGCTAGCTCTTCCAGTCAAGAACAATAAATCATTTAGTGAATGAGAGATTGGAATATACACAGTGTTTGACAGTTTAATTACATTTCTTGAAGAATATACGTCAAGATGAGAGGTGGAAGGCAAGACTAGTAGAATAGAATGTCTATTTTATTGATGAACAATATATGCAAGTACTCATCTATATGTAAACATTTAATCCCCTTAGAAAATGAATTCATTTCTTGACCAATGATATGCATTCGTCCATTTAAGACATTTCTGAAAGTCATCAAATGATTTTCTCGTTTACTCACTTCTGATTGGCTCACTATGTCAATATTACTTTCTCTTAACTTTGTTTATATTTGATTTCATGAAAGATTACACAATGCTATAGTTTTGAATATTCAATTTGTACCGCTAACAAAAATGATGCATGTTGACGTATTTTTTTTGTCAACAGTCTTCGACATAAATTTAATGAATATTTTTCTTCCAGTATTTCCTGAACATTTAAAACCCATCTATTTGGAAGATTTATAGTTCTAAGCTTCTTGTATCTAACTAATCCTTGAGGAATTCATATTCTCTGAGGAAATTTGAAATTGTGTGAAACTGTCACAGTTCCAACGTTCAAAGTTCAATTTACTAATTACCGGAATATTATTAATAATAATAGATTTAAATAGTCTTATATGTTTTGTATCTAAACTATGTTTACTGAAAATATGACGCAATTTTGTAGAAGCTGGATACAGAATTCTGAAGAAAGAGAGACAGAGTAGGAAGACAGAAGTCATCTGCTTGTAGAGACCAATAAGGATTTAGAGCTGACTCAAGGTTATTTGTGCTTGAACTTAATTCTGATTGGTGTTTTTATAATTTGTCACGTGACAAAATTGATCAACGGAAAGGAATAATAACAAGTTGTTTGTGTTCTATGGGAATAACTTTCATTTTAAAGTTTGAGGTATCTACTCATGTTCCAAGATTATGTTGTGCTTTCTGAGCTTAATCTGAGTTTAATCATGAGAATTTTTCATCAACTTTCCAGATAAACACATTATCAACACAACAACCTCACATTAAATTACATACCTGTAATTTTATTAACAAGTTAAAAGACTCAATACTAAGTTAAAAAATATTTCATTTAACAATGCTTATTATTATCTTAACCAACTGCAAAAATGGAACTGTGAGGAGAGCAAGATTTGCAGTCAACGAACGATGACAAAAAGCAATAAAAAAATCGATATTCATGTGACCAAGTTATTTTTTCTTCTTACCTGAAAAGCTTCCAAATCATTTTGAGCTTGTTTTAATGTTGACTCAACGACACGTTGTTTTTTAGTGAATATTTCAAAATCTTTACGTAGAATATCTAGAATTTTCTTCTCTTCCATCATTTCTTCTTCAACATCTAAACGTTTCTCACGAATTAAACAAGTACGTTCAAAATCTTCCATAGAACAACCAGGTGGACATGCATCTAAATTCATAATGACAATATTTTCAACATCATCTTCATCTTCATCCGTGTCTTCAAGACTGGATTCATCGGATAATGATGATGACGAGGAGGAGGATTCGTCGGATTCTTCTTCGGAACCTTGAATTGTTTTTTTAAGAAAAATTATATTGACATATGAAACATGTATCAGATGGTGCATAGTTTTATTTATCTGGAATGGGGAGTGACTCTGACAAAATTATCCCTTTAACACAAGGCTTGTCATGTCTCTCTACTCAAAGGTACTCAGCCAGGATTATTCTATTACGAACACCCAACCATCGACCAACTCGGCAATCGATGATGCCTGGCATAGGGGTAGGTTGGAAGAGAGCTAGGAGCGACTAGACCAAAACATGACACAAATACATGAATTCACTGACAAGTGAACTGAGTCATGTTGGTAGGTGTAGACTACAGTAACCGATGGTTAAAGACCTTGAATAACATAGCTCAAGATTGTTTGCAATGGCACGGGTGCATTCAATTCTTAGTCCTCTCTCAAATTCTAATCTTCTGAATTCCTCATGACCGTTTTCTGAACTCTCTATCTCTCTGTTTTTTAAATTGATTCCTCTGGGATATACTTCTTGAATGATATCTTCGCTCCCTAATCTTTTTGACTAGCGCTAATACTTCTACTAACTCTACTTCTGTGGAATTTGAATTGATCATTCGATCTCTATGTGCTAACGTGTGGTATGTCAACTTGAACTGATGTGCACGCATACTTACGAAGTTCTACGTGGTAGCTGACTGATTGATTATTAGACTTCAACAGAACTCAGATTAAGAACGGGTGACTGACCTGACTATAATGTGTTTTACTAATCAATAACCACTAATTAAAACCATACAAATGATATGCAATATAATATGTTGCCTTAAATACTTATTAGACTATTTATCAGTCTTCAATCAGTCATTGTTAGACCATCATTAGAAACCTGAAAGCACCGGATGGCTGTTTCATCCTGTAATTCGGGAGGTGTAGAAAGGATTTGATTTTGACCACTTTGGTTATATGGGTATGAGGGCGGATGTCACTTCCAGGCTGCTCGTACCGTGGAAGGGTTCTGATTGTCAAAACGCGCATCAACCACGTAACTTTCGGAGGAACTCGACTTTCATTATGAGACTTTATAACTCTTATAAATGAATACCTTCTAACTCCTAGAGCAGTTTATACAGTGTGAATTATTTTTTTTCTTGTTAGCGTTTTTTTTGGCTAGTTTTTTGCGGGATGGGGTCGCCAACCCTAATCTCAACCCTCCTCCTCCTTTATCCGGACATGAAATAGGCAGTAGCCCCGGAACACTGTTCAAATTCAATGTTTTTGTAAAAGCAGTATGTATCAATCATAATGAGGAAATGCCAACACGCGGTCAACAACCTAAAGCCTTGACAAAATCACACTGGTCATTCATTACTCAGCGTCATTCAAAACCAAACAGAAAGCATTGGTGGTTTTCACGATTGCCTGTAGAGGCTTCGCGTTGGGGACGTTAGATCCACAGAACTCATTTAGAAATGTTAAAGTTCCATGTTCTCGCGCCAGGTGACCTTCTGCTCACATTTTCCCTTCGGAAAATCCTTGACAGTCATCGGTTGATGGAGTATTTTAGTACGCCATTTTGTGGCTCTCCCACGGGCGTTATGCATAAACAAGCTCGATTTGTATGCTTGTCTACCTCGAATTTTCTGAGTACTTGTAGAATACATTCTTTACGCCTTATCAAAACTTCTGTTAGAGATGTTAGACCCCCAGAACTCACTTGATATGGGTCCTAATTTTGGATTTTATGTTTCTGAGCATGCACTGATCAGTTAACCTTGAGATTACATTTCCCATCCGGCAAATCCTTGACTGTTATTAACTGATGTATTATTTTGGCACGCTATTTTTGTGGCTCTCAGCGAGATCATTTCTATCATTGTATAAATAAACTCGTTTTGGGTGCTTAGTGACCTCATACTTTTCTAGGTGCTTGTAGAATACACTTTCTACGTCTTTCCAAAACTTCTTCCTCTACTTACTTGGGGCCTTGGCAAGATCGAATTAGAGTAGCCTATCATGTCACTAAGTTGTTGGTCTTCGCTCCGTTTACCGACTAAGGTGAACTCGTAATAGCATTCAAACATATCAACTAGTAGTGACGAGCAAATCACTTCCCTGAATAGTAAACGACAAAAACCTACTCATTGATTCTGAAGTGTATGATCAGGATTTTCAATACAAATGTCAAGACAGTTCTATTGTATGGAGCGAAAACTTGGAGAACTACGCGAAAGGCATCATCGAGAAGATACAAGTGTTTATTAACGGTTGTCTACGCAAAATATTTCAGATTCGTTGACCAGACACCATTAGCAACAACGTACTGTGGCCGAGAACAAACCAGATTCCAGTGGAGGAGGAAATCAGGAAGAAGCGGTGGAAGTGGATAGGACACACACTACGAAAAGCACCATCTGCCTCACAAGACAATCCCTCACTTGGAACCCTCAAGGTGAGAGGAAAAGAGGAAGGCCAAGGAACATAATATGCCGAGAAATAGAGAAAGATATGAGAGGAATGAACAAACATTGGACAGCATTGGAGAGGTAAGCCCAGGATAGAGTTGGTTGGAGAAAACTGGTGGGCGGCCTATGCTCCATTGGGGGGTAACAGGCGTAAGTAAGTAAGTAAGTAATGATACACATAAATTTACTTAAAAACTTACCTGAAAGACGTTCTTCTTGTTTCTTTCGTTTAATACGTTTTTTAAATACTTTTGTTAGAAATTCAGCAAATTTATGTGATTCACCTAGGCTAGCTTTGAATTCTTCATGAATTTGATGTTCACGTTGTGAAAGACGTTCTAAATCTTTCTTTTTTTGTTCAATTTTTAAGTTTAATTCATTCACCTTTTTGTTGAATTTAGAAAAAGTGAAATTTAACAAACAGTCTGTTTAAATGTGATGTTTTCAGTTAGAGTAATGGAGATTAGTGTTTCTTACACATTTCAAATCATTAATCAATCAATCATTGTTAGACCATCACTATTAGAAGAAATCTGAAAGCACTGGACGGCTGTTTCGTTCTGGTGTATGGGACTCATCAGTGGCAGTGCGCATACACGAATCCTGCATCTCGCAGGATTTGAACCCGGGACCTTCGGTATTGAGCACGAACGCCTAGCCTCTAGACCATTGGCTAGGCATGCAGCGGTGTTAATATCTAAATATGATTGAAAATTGATGAGTTCTAGATTTTTTAAAAAAAAAAATAAAACACAAGTTGCATACGATCGACGACCTTTACATACTATTAGCAAGTATCACTGATGAACAAGGTGGATTTGATGCAGACAGGAAAGTAAAGATTGTCAAAGCAAGGGCCGAATTTCTACTGTTGAACAACATATGGAGCTCTAAACTACTATTGACCAACAACAAAGTCAGAATTTTCAATACCAACCATGAATTTCTTCTGAACACAAATTGGGGTTGAATGTACGGATTCCTACGGCTTCTGTTATTCCTAGGTGTGAGGGAAATGATGGAGGTATACGATAGATCACTCGAAACGATCTAGACTTACCTACAGTATGACCACTATCAACCAAATGTGCCGAAATAGAACTGCGCGTTGTTTTTGACAGACCCTTCTTAAACCATGCTGGGAGATGTTCACTGATTTGTTAGCTACGTTGCCTGGTAGTACGCGCGATATAACTATCTCCACAGGAGAAGCTGAATTTTTAAATGCACATAGAGGAAGCCAACTCAGGTAACTTAACCTTCGTTTGGTTAGACAACGCTGGTCGATTTGAGAAGGTCAACGCAAGTTTGGCTGCGCTGAATGTTCTACTAATTACTTTCGTTAATCTGTCCTTCAGAGTATCGCAGGCTACATCTTCGTTGAATTGTAGTTTAATAAATAAAGACTTCTTTTGAGCGGTTGAAATTACTGACTTCTTTTTTACACCAAACGTATATTTCCTTATGAATGCGCTCAGTCAGTGAGCTGTTGATAAATTGCAGCTCCTGACTTAAAGTATCCACTGAACAGATTATTTTTGCTCTGCTAGTGAGACATCTAACCAAATTTATTTTTTGTAGCAAATAGGTTTAAAACTACAAAAGTGAGTGTATTGGTAAGCAGTGGGATTTTTTCTATATACGATTCTATTAAGCGAGTCACCACTTCGCCTACTTAGTGTGAAGTCAAAGAAAGCTAGCTTTTTATCATACTCCTCTTCATCAGTGAAATTGATTGCCGGGTGTATACTGTTGAATTGCTCAAGGATAATGATCTATTAGGTATTAGGGGGTGTAGGAAGGATTTGATTTTGACCAATTTGTTCTCGTGTGCTGTTACGGGTATGAGGGCGGTTATCACTTCCCGGTTGCCCACACCGTGGAAGGTTGTTTCTTGAGGGACCTGAAAAGGAAGATAGATTAGTGTTGGTCTTGGAGACCTGGGAGCGTGACCGCAGAGTCCAAGGGACAACTGCTTGAGGCCGGTCACGCACGGACTTTTCATGAAAGGTCTTTTGAGTATTAGCTCCACTCTTGAAAGCCTTTAGTGGGCACCCTTACCGCCGGAGACGGAAATCCGTGAGGTAGGTTGAGGTGTGACATTTTTAGGGTCGACATTTTCTAACCCTTCCTTCCTTGTGAGAAGGGAGCATCGCTGTAGATGCTGGTTGTCCGAGAGAAACACCCTACTGCTGTCACACCCCTCCATCACAGTCAGCAGTACGACTTCGCCTTCAGACCTTGAATAGCTGCTTTTAGTCTCATCGTTCTCCAATCTACCAGCCTGGTATGGTAGAACCTTCAGGAACATGAGTTCCAGCCAATATAGCTAGCTCATCACGATAGGCAAGCCCGACCACCACGTCAAGGTCAGCAGCTTCGGTCGGGGGATGACAATCTAATCGAAAATAACAATATTGTTCACTTATATGTATTGTTCAAACTTTTAAATATCACTTTTCAAAATTCAACAATATTCAATTAAAAACATTGATTTTTAAAAATACAAACTAACCTTATTAGTAATATCTTGTTTTTCTTCTAATCTCTCTTTAATTTTCTCTGTTAAACCATATTCAGATTTTTCAAATTCTTTTAATAAACAATATTCATCATACAATGTATGCTGATGTAATTCAGAACGTTTTAACAAGATATCTAATTTAAAACGTTCATGTCTTAATAAACGAATTTCTGCATCAAAATATCGAACTAATCGACTAGCTGTTTGTAACAAATAATTTCGATGATATATAGCTTTAATATGTTTATGATGTTGTAATTCCATTTCTAATGAGGTTAAATTTGATGATGTAATGGTTTGACTGAAAAAAAAACAACACAGTAAAAGAGAAAGATAAATGAGAAATAATGTTATATATGTACTTGTTAGGATAGCCATCAAATATCTTATTCTATTGGTCAATTCCTATTGGTCAATATATTCAAGGTCGTCGTAAACTATCAAGTTCATATACTTTTAAATGTTGTTTCCTATTGGTTAGTTAGTATTCACGGTCGACCTAACTGTATAAATATGCATTGTCAGTCAAGTTTTATGCTCCTCTTCTTCTGTACTAAAACCGCATATTTTCTGGGTGCTTGTAGAATACACTTTGTACGCCATATGAAGACGTTTTGATATTGTTAGTGGGGGCTTGAGACGCTCGGATTAGAGTAGCTTATCGTGTCAATGGATCATCGACATCGAGTATACCGTAGTCGGAATACGAGAGTGAGGATCGAGGATCCGGTGACACGACATGCGAATCTAATCCGATTGTCCCAACCCCCATGTTGAGTAAAAATAAGAAGACTTGATATGAAGTATAACCTGTATTCTACACGAGGTCTGAGTCCAGAAGAGGATCAGGATCCCAGACTAGGGATCCGGGACCGGCTACTGGTCATAAAACATTACAGACAATGCGTATTTATACATTTACGTCGAATAGAAAACAGCATCGAAATATGTGACATTTACAGTTAAGTCGACCAATAGGAAACAACATTGTAGCACGTGACATTGATATCTACTAGGACGACCATAAAATTGACCAGTAGGAATTAACCAATAGGAATTGACCTATAATTGTCGTAGAATATTGTATGAATATCCTAACATTTACCGACTAAGATGAACTTGTAATAGTTTCGAGCATATGAATTGATGAGCATAACAGTGTCATTTTGTGTCAAGTTTAACACATATTAGATTGTTCTAGATTGTGGACAAAACATAATTCATCTCTCGAGTCATTATTTGTTACATCTTTTCACCTTGTCCATTGTTTAGTATATCGCTTACTTTATCATTTATCTATTTACAAGTTTGGCTTATCTCATCTGTTTGACTATGAGTAGTCAGCCATGTTCCATTAAATTGAATAGGCTCATTCACTTGATCCGTTTCACTTGACTTCGCTTAGTTTATTCATGCATTCTCTTCATGTTTGTTTTTGTGTAAACGATTGTGCATGAGAAATAAACTCATCCAAATCAATTTGAATGCGGCTTCTCATTACTGGTGTCACTCAAATGAGGTTAATCTAGGTGTAAGGTTCATTTTCATAGGATATATCATTGTTGGTAGATACACTGGAGTCAGATGTTGAGTCATTTGAATGATTCTGTCACAAATGCTAATTGTTCTTAGAAATAAATAAACGATTATATTCACATTTTTTTTCTCTAACCTACTGATATTTTATCATGCCCTCATGCTAAGTATAGAATAGCGGTTCATTTAAGATACATAAGTAGTATCAGTCAGTCAGTCAGTCAGATGCAACGTAGAACTTCGTACGTAAGTACATCAGGATTAGAAGATATTATTCAAGAAGTATGATTCAGTGAGAAAAGTTTAGAAAGCCAAAACTAGAGGTGATGAAGAATCTAGAAGATTAGGACTTAAGAGAGAACACAAAGAATGAATGCACCTGCGCCATTCCGAACGGTCTTGAGCCATGTCATTCAGGGTCTCTAACCATCGATTATTATCATCTCGCGGACCCCAACCAGGTAGTCGACAATTACCAACATGGCTCAGTCCACTTGTCAAGTGACTTCATGGATTTCTGCCATGTTTTGGTTTTTCCGCCCCTAACTTTCTTCCAACCTATTCCTACACTACAAAACAAAGCTCGTCGAGGCAGTCGGTGGTTAGGCATATGCAACACATGTCCCAACCACCTCAACTGATGAAGTTTCACCACTTCATCTATTGATCTGCCATTCTAAACTAGCACCCGTTTCCTAATAACAGCGTTGTTCACTCGGGTGTCCCACGGTATACGAGCAATGCTTCGAAGACACCTATGATCAAAAACCTGTAACCTACGAATATCTTCTACTCTTACTGGCCATGTTTCACAGCCATAAAGTAGGACGGAGAGAACTACTGCACAGTACACTCGTCCTTTAGTCAGCAAACGGATATCTCGCCTACGCCATAAGTGACGCAGGTTGGCAAAAGCCAATCGAGCCTTCTGTATCCAAGCTGAGATTTCGTCAGTCACCAGGCCATCGGCACTGATGAGAACATAAGTAGTATATGTATAATTGTACTAATTCAATGGAAACCAATCATCATGTATTCTGTCATTGTACATGTTCTATCGTCGATAAATCAGCAAAACTTTAAGAATAATGAAAGATCTCTAAAAACCTTGAGTTCTTTGTTTAATTTATAATGATAAAAATGGACATATCTACACAGATTCGATTTATCAGCCTATGAGGATGAAGATAAATCGGTCAGATGGATAAAAATCGGTTGGAAAAGTTAACAAAGCTTTCCACAATAGACAATCAGGAAGAATGAAGACTATGATAACAGTTTGATGTAACATTTTTAAAGTACACTCCTATATTGTATAACTCATCCTAGAGCCTTTCCAAGGTTACTGCCGATCCCAAGCCCGGAATGGGGATTAGATACCCTATCACGTAGAAATCCTACTTGCTAAAACAAAAACGCTAACCATAAAAATAATTCGCTGGTCAGCGGCCTATACCACATTAGGGCTAACAAGCGGAAGGGAGTAAGTAAGTAAGTCTATATATGGTACAGGGGTTTATTACATTAAGATCGATGAGAGGTATAGGATACTCAGTGTCGAGTGAGGCCCGTATTCTTAACGGACTGACCTACTTAAAACCCGACCTACTCGCCTTCAAAGGAGATGTAGAGTGGGTTATCGATGGTATTATCTGTGTGTCTTGGAAAGCCAAGATGAGAAAACACAATACAGAAGGACTGAGCGAACGCTATTGCTTGCTCGTTAACAGAGTAGGTGGCCTAGTGAAGGTGATTCGACACCTTCCAGTAGTAATAACGATGAGAAGAGAAGAGAAGAAGAAGAAGAGGCTAGGCTTACAAAGACATGTGATAACCTGGTTATGTGAGCAGATGATCATCGGATCGTCCATCTGTTATATGAGGCAGTAAGAAGAGGGCAAGTACGATGATAATAGGGGAGAAACTTCACGTTGCTATTCACTCAGGTCAATGAAAAGGTGGACTAGCCGGGTAAGCCCGCCTTTTCGCCTTTGTCGATTGGGGATTGTGGGATGTGGAGGGATCGAATTTTTTCATAAGCACCCGGGCGGGGGTGACTGCTCGTAACCACGCTTATTGGATGTCCAACTTGCTTGTATGAGAATCTAGTCGACATGTACATAACCTCTTGCGCAAAGGAAAACGCGTGGCGGCTACATGTGTGAAACTTTGTGATGTGTAAAAGCAGCTTGTGTGCATGTGCTGCAGGTTAGTTGTTTAACCAAGAGTATATGGTATAGGGTCTAATTACATTATAAGGAACGATTATAAGAACTTCACTTATCGATCTGGTTCAAAGAATGCCTCTTAAATGATTATCAGATTGATGTTTAACACGTAAAACTGATTACATTTGTTGGTTAGACTCAAGTGATTAGTATTATTTGTCCCTTTTATACTAAAATCTTTTAAATTAATCTGAATTTTATGTAATGTTATCGAAACTCGTTAACATTGGCTCAAAGGGACACTTGTATATTTATTTGCCACGCAAATTATCAAAAAAGAGATAGTCCTTGGATGCTCAAACAGAAATTTTGTGGTTTTATTAGGAGGCCAAATCCTGAGCCTTAGACACAAAAGTCTAATCCACAAGGCAATAGAGTAACGCTAGGAGATGCAGTCCTATAATGGCCAGTGACCAACAATATAGATCCCATACGCCATTGGTCCCATAAGGTGTCTGGAATCCATGTGCACCATCGGTTAGGAATTAAGTATTCCCATCTACTCACTGTGTGTCATTCGTGCACACTAATCCAGTTAAATTGACTGACACTCACTGTTTGTGTTCTCAAGTTCGTGAACAACATCCCTGGGAGTCTTATCAGTTCTGATGGCCTGGTGTCTGAAGAAATCTCAGCATGGATAGATAAGGCTCAAATAGCTTTAGCTAACTTGAGTCATTGATGGCGTAGGCAAGATATCCGGCTAACAAATAAAGGACGAGTTCACTACACAGTAGTTCACTTCGTCCTACTTCATGGCTGTGAAACATGGTCAGTAAAAAGCCAGGGTAGATGTCTTCGAAGCATTGCTCGCGTATCCTAGGACAACCGAGTAAGCTATGATGTTAGGAAACAAGTATTAGGAAGGGCAAATCAGTTGATGAAGTGATGAATGTTCATCAGTTGAGAAGGTTGGGATATGTGTTACGAATGCCAAACCACCGGCTACCTCGTCGATCTATGTTTTGGGGCAGAGTTTTGGAGGTTCGTGTTTTTACACAATTGAAATTATCAATCAATCATTGTTAGACCACCATTAGAAACCTGGAAGTACTGGACGGCCGTTTCGTCCTGGTATGGGACTCATCAGTGGCAGTGTGCATCCACGACTCCTGCTCCTCACAGGATTCGAACCCGGGACCTCCGGTATTGTGCGCGAACGACTAATCACCGGACCACTGGGCTGGGTTTGGAGAAAGTTAGAGTTTGCCAAACCAAAACATGACACAAATCCATGGAGTCACTGACAACTGGATTGAGTTAAGTTGTAAGTGTAGACTACTCAGTTGGGGTCCTTAAGATGATATTAACCGACAGTTAGAGACTCTGAATGAAATAGTTCAAAATTGTTTGCAATGACTCAGATGCATCCATTATTTGTGTTCTACCAAATTCTAGTCTTCCATATCCCTTATCACCTTTATCTCTCTATTTCTAAAGTTATCTCACTGGATTATACTTCTCGAAAGACATCTTCAAACCCTAATCTTTCCGATCACTCCTCATACTTCTCCTGCATCTGCCTCTAAGGGATTTGGATTGACTCTTGCATCTCTCCGCTACTGTGGTATGACATCTCGAACTGATTCACGTACGTACGAAGTTCTACGTTGCTTCTGGCTGACTGGTTGACTGCAACAACATCTATTTCAGAAGATGGTAGTTAAGTGGCACCTCCCTGTCACGATCATATAAGATCATTAAGAGATTGAGAGTAGGCTTGTGGTGGCCGATTTTTTGGACGTCGGGATCATCATTTGTGGTGGCCCTTTTACTATGGCGGGCTCACCATTATTGTGTACACTGGCGAGCGAATGAGCGACTGAAGCGAATCATCGTATGAAGCGATGTGGAGAAGGCTAATGAGCCAACTCCTAGAATTACAATACGAACGAATGGGCGAAGGAAGCAAATGAACATGCGAAGCGCGTTGGAGAAGGCTAATGAGCCAATTCAAAGAGATAGAGCGTGACTAAGAGTATAAATAGTCAGACAAATATAAGACCGTCTTGCGACAAGCGAAATAGGCACACATGAATAAAAGCGACGAATAGTTGACAAGGTCAAATGACAAGTGGAACACATGTCATGTGAGCTCATCATACAAACCAGAGAATAATAAGAACGAATGGTACATATAAATTGTTGCAATACATATGGCTTGGTTAAATAAATTAATCGAAAGGGCTTAACCAGGTTAGATGTAAGCGAACTCGAATATATGTGGAGGCACTACAGGCTCTGCTGTTTCTCAACCTTAACCAGGAGATTCGAGAACTACTCTATAGTATGATTATACAATATCACTCAATAATAAACTATTGTCAAATTACTTACATCCCTCTATAAAATAACGCTACTTACTAAAACAAGGTGAACTAACTAACCTTAAATTTTGATCATCATTTTCAACATCCATAGATTTGGTCTTATCCATTTTGTAGACACTAGTTTTCTCAGGTTTCATTGATTGATAGATTGATATTTTTATGGATTCATCCGGTGGATTATGAATTAAAATGCCATCGATTATATCACGAACTGTGGAGGATGGTTTTAAAAATGAATACTTTTGATTGTTAACACTTGGCATAGTTGAATAATGATAACTATCAACAGCTAGACAATGTAATGGGAACCATATAACATTGGTCGATTGTGTTTCAGTATTATTTTGATTATCAGTAGTATCATAACTACTGTTAGTAGTGATCTGACTGGATTCAGTGATAATTTTCGGCTGTTTCCATTGAGAACGTTCTTCTGGTAGAATACATTCAGTAAATGAAAGTAGTGCATTGGTTGATGACTTGTTTTAAGTGAGAAAAAAAAATCAAAACACAGGAAAAGAAAGATATCTATGAGGAATAATCAGTCACATTTTAATGAGGTTTAAAATAG